TAATTTAGCGCAGTTTTGGCGCAGTTTACCTTCAAGATTTTACACTTAACTAAGACATTAAATTAAGATTTTGTATTAACGTATGAGTTGTCAACAACGACATAATTATGTAACCCAGGATAACACATATGGTTAAGCAATTAATTCAAACTTTAATATGATATAAGACTTACAACTATGTCATGTTGAAAAACAATTGATTGAGACAAGTCACTACCTAGATGGGTGAGCGCTTTGGAATACCAGGAACTTTAAGCTTTTATGTGCTGTTGGTGTGGTAGATAACGGTAGGGAATTAGAAGCCTCGGGGCGGGGAGTTCCAGTCGGTTTCCTTATATATATTTACGCGCAAATACACTTGGGATAGGTATGAATCTACCTCTTTTTCCTCCCATCTATGGGTTAATTAGTATGACTTGTATAAGTTATTATTATTATTATCTAAAAAATCCTTTACAATCTAAAAACTTTACAATCTAAAATGGTTGATGAGACGAAAAAAAATAATCAAATCCATATAATCTAGTGTAGAAAATGTAATGCATTAATTTCTGGTTTAGTATGTCTTAGGATATATCAACCTCAATGGGTTATTTAATGCTGACATGTTTTTTATTCCTGGTAAAATATTTTCCAAAAATGTATTGCTGGTAATAATTATTCTTTTCAAAAATATATGGATAGTATTAAAACCTATTTTTAAACTTTCATGGCTGTTTTGACACCAGTTTTGGGTTAATTATTTGCCTATAGTTGGGACCCTAACAGGTGCTACCACCCCCGGTCAGGATGGACCTGGGAACACCAGCAATTAAGAAGTAGTTCCATGATCCTCAAAACCTCCTAATCAGAGGCATTGCTGTTGGGCGTAGTTTATCCTCTTACCCAGGGTGCGAATGTAGTTTGTAGTCATACCCAGGACGGAATATTCTGCCAGTCTGAGATGTCTTAATACCGATGCTTTTGAATCCGCTTTATAGAAGGAGGTGCCAAGAATTCTTGTGTACGAAACAAAATGCCAACATGATTAAATTATTTCTTTCAATTTTACCCCCCTCCAACTCTAGCAAGCTACTTATTTAGTAAGATGTACTTATTATTTTCCAAATGATTTTCTTCACGATACCGTTATTTTATTCCAAGAATTATAACGTTCCTCGCTTATTCCATAAGCTGAAACAATACCCCGCTTTTGATTAATGCAGACAGCACCTGTCAAAGACTACCGTTATGGTTATTGGTCAAGAAAATGAATCAGCGCACAGAATTTAAATTAAGTTCCAGTCCGTTGCGTCGACTTGCGTGCACGAATAGTTTTTGCAAAGAAATGAACATTATCTTCGCCAGCACTAGTTAAGTTCTAAATAAAATGTGAGCAAATCTCTGAATTTAAAAACCTGGAAGTGCGAATGGGACTCATTTTAATACCATTGTCCAGAAGTCATGATATTTCACACATTATAAAGAAACGGAAACCCGGAGAGCTAACATTTCCTCCTTCTTGAAGGAGCGTGATAATTTGCAAAAGCTACGATTTCTAAAGAGTACGTTGTATTTATGAATCTGAAGCTACAGTAGATGGACCTCGTAACTGGGTTAGTGATTGAGTCCGTCATGGAAAGAACAACTAAATTGGTTTTAGAAAAATGACAACGGGAAAGATGAAGGATGTTTTGGGCTAGTATAGGAAAGATTACGTTGAAAACAAAGAAAAGAGCACTGAGCTGCTACGTGATATTTGTCCTCCTGTATTACAGTGAATGCTAGAAAATCTCCTAAAAGATAGAGAAGAGACTTGAAGCAACAGAAATGTGGTTCTACATAAAGATACTGGGGATACCATGGACCGACGAGCATTTGAAGAAAATAGAAAAAAAAACGAAACTTCTACTTAGCAAAAGGAATATCTGGGCCACTTAATGAGAAAGGTAAAAAAGAAACATGCAATGATAGCAGCAAAAATTGCAATATGAGCACTGGTAAAAAATGGTTGCTGAAGACATTAGGTTTATAATAACCAGATATTCATACACAGGTGTTTTCAAGGATACATGACACAGAGGATAAAGCGTTAGTTAGATCCAGTGACAGGACGCAAAGTGTGTGAGTTCAATACTTGGTTAAGGCGGTGGAGATAACTGATAACTGATATCCATTAAACATAGGACGTGGAACTAGAACAGTCTCCCCCAACGAGCGAAATAAAGGGTTCAGTTCGAGATTCCAACCAACTGAAGAAGTCCGGCGCGTACAACGGCCGAAACATTGTGATAAATATGGCAACAAAGATGAGGATGATAGTCCGTACAATGTAAATAGTGAGAAAGGAGAGATTGGAAAACCTGATACTTACGGGACAGATTGAGAGAAAGAGGGATAAAGGAACATACTTGATGTGTTTGAGCAAATTGATGGCAATATTTGGAAGAAATAACAAAAAGATAAAACTTATTAAGAGCTACAAGGGACAAGAAGATGTGGAGGGCCATGATCGTCTACATCCTGAAATGATAAAGCATATAAAAGAAGATAGGAGGCTGTAAAATCAGAGTTCCCCTAAAGTTAATAATGATGTCAAGATAAATGCTAAAAATTATAGCAATCTCTTAGAGATTTTCTTATTTCAACAGGTCAGGTTTTTAAACAAAGAAGCTTTAAACTAAATATATATTCCTATTCACATTATGCGAATTTAATTACTGGAGAGCCAATCATACTAATTTATAAAGCTCAAAATGAATCCAGGGTGCACAATAGAAATGCGTTAAATTTAGAAATATAATTTAGTTTAGTTTAGTTTGTTTTGTTTTACGGCATATAAACCTCTATGGGTTACTTAATGCCGACAAGATTTTTATCGCTGGTATTTTTTTTTAAAGATATATTATTGGTAATACTCTCTTTTTCAAACATGTATTGCTCGTAATATTTTTTTCTCAAAAATGTATTGCTGATAAAGATTTTTCCTAAAAAGTATTGCTGGTATTAAAACATATTTTTTTATACTTTCATAGTTCTACGCCTCCTTTTGGGGTTAATATTTGCCCATAGCTGGGGCCCCACACAAGTGCTACCACCCCAGGTCAGGGTGGACCTGGGAACACCAGCAATTAAGAGGTGGTTCCACGTCCCTAAAAACCTTATGATGAAAGCTCTTGCTGTCTAATGTAGTTTATCTTCTTACCCAGGACGCGGGTGTCGTTTATCGTCATACCTAGAACGGAAATAAAATTTATTTAGCTATCATGATTTATGCACAAACTGAACACTCGTCATCTATGTTCAAAATGTTTGCCTGAATTTCCAACCCAAGGTTGTAAGCTGAGCAACCAGGAGGCAGTAGCTTTGCGGGTGGTGTCAAGAGAAATTTCATTCCAAGTTTCAGTTAAGTTCTTTTTCAATGAGTGTCACGATGACAATTTTGCAAGTGAGTTAGGAGTATACTCCTGATAGAGTATCCCATAACATTTACATCTGGGCTTTTCGACGGCCATTGAGATGAACCAATTAGAGCTGGTGTATTTTCTCGAAGAATGAATTTACCGTTTTTTTTTTTTTTTTACTGGGCACCCTGTATAGTTGACCCAGGCATCTCCAGATATTCCTCCAATAATAATAAAAAAACGTAATCCATCACCTAAAGACCAGTATAGTAGAATGTAATATAATAATTAAGCAAAGAATGTAACGAGGAAGCAATATCAGTTGCTATAAGATGAAACTATAGAAAGGTTAACAAAATTAATGAAGGAAAAGGCTGATGAAAAATTTAAAACGTAAGAAAGCTCAGTATCTGTCTATATTTCTGAGATGAGTTATTATATACACTATTTACATTATTCGGACTATTGTCCTCATCTTTGTAGCCATATTTATTACAACGTTTCAGCCGTTTTACGCTCCGGCCTTCTTCAGGTGGTTGGAATGTCGAACTGAACCCTTTATTTCACTCATTGTGATAAACTGTTCTAGTTCCATGTGTCAAGGACAACTGGTACAGTGGATAAAGGCGTTAGTTAGATCCAGTGACTAGACCCAAAGAGTGTGAGTTCAATACCCGGTTAAGGCAGTGGAGAACTTTCAGAGGGAAATTGACAGGAGACAGCTGATAACTGATAACTGACATCCATTATACATTGCACGTGGAAATAGAACAGTCTACCCCAGTGAGCGAAATAAAGGGATCAGTTCGACATTCCAACCACCTGAAGAAGGCCGGAGCGTAAAACGTTGTAATAAATATGGCTACAAAGATAAGGACAATAGTCCGAATAATGTAAATAATGTATAAGAATGCTCGTATTAATATGGACACTACAAAAAAAAAAAAGAAGATAAATCCATATACATAGGGTATTAGGTTAATCAAATGCATAATCATCAAAGCAATATGTTTTGGGGTTAATGATAAAAAAAAAACAGATTTTATATAATAAATGCTGCCAACCAAACATTACGTTACAATAAATATATTTTTCACACCGATGGACTCCTCCGCGCAAAGATGGAGAGCTTAGAAGCCTTCATGACACGCCACCGACTTCAATGGACCGGACACCATGCACGAATGCCAGAAATCCGCCTATCTAAAAAAATCCTCATTTCGGAGCTCTCATCTGGGAAGAGACCACGTGGAGCCTCACGTCGTCGATTCAAGGGTCGAAACACTTGGCCGAGGACAGAAAGGTCAATTTGGAAAGAGAAGCTGCAGAAAGAACCATTTGGAGAAGAGCCGTCCATGAAAAAACAACATCATTTCAAAATCACCTGAAACCTCCTACCTTACAAGGCGGTGGCTGTAGACGTCTCTTCAGATCCAGTATAGGGCTCATTTCACACAGAGAATTCGGTAACGAATTACGTCAAAGACGATACTCTATGAAACTGAAACTCACGTAAAATATTGCTTTCATAAATATGAGTATTTTTGAAAGATCAGTTTTCATCGCTTGGTTAATTCAAATTTTATCGCAAAAAACGTCTGGCCTAATCCGACACAGAATCTATCTATCTATCTATCTATCTATCTATCTATCTATCTATCTATCTATCTATCATTCTGTTATTTAAAATATGTTATATTTATGTAAAAACTGCGTACATTATCGGATAAAGAACTTATATAGATGTAGACAATATGAATTTCGGTTCGGAGAATCGCTTAAGATGTAAAACTGACAGTCTCCATGTCGTGTTCATTTCTACGTCCATAATGTTTATTTTTGTCTCTCATAGTTTTTCGTTCAGACTTTCCCTTTTTCTGTCTGTCTTCCACTCTGTTACTGTCTTTCTTTCTCCCCTCCCTCTCTATCCTCTCTCTCTATCTATCTATCTCTCTATCTCTGTATATATATATATATATATATATATATATATATATATATATATATGGCAACCTAGAAAAGATTATAGGATTTAAAAAAAGGAATGTTTTAATAAGCAAAAAGAATAAAACTGTATCAGGTTGGCTTATAAATTTTGAAAAATCTGATGAGACACATCTCTTAATGGGTAACTAAATATACACTTACTCTTAGATTGATTACCCACCACCCAAAGATAAAGAACCCAACCCGATATTTAATCCATAGTAAACAGGGAGAAGTGATGGATTCATGCCTTCCCATAATAGCGTTTGTACAAAAGTGAACGCAACAGACTGGGCAGAAATTACAGCCGATTACACTCTCTACGACGATAACTCACACACTTCAGAGAAAATGAAGTGCTCGCCCGGATGCTTTTGCGTGAGATATCCTGCCTTATCTAAGGCAAAACGATTTATTTGTCGGTATCCACCTTGTTTGCTAGGAGTCAGTAAATTCTAGATTACTTGGTAACAGTCATAAGAAAGAAATCCTTAGTGACCTATATTTAAAGATAATTAGATGGCATGTTGGCTCACCTGTAACATTATTTAGGCAATGTGAATTACTCTATAATGTTCTTCCCTTACTCATTTAAAATCCAACAGGTTAATAGATACCAGTAGCAACAGAGTAGCCATGATCGTTTATTTAAATGCCTTGAGAGTGTAGTCTGTTAAGCTCGAATACTTCCACAAATTCTGAACAAGGTCATGTATGTATTGCTTTACGAAATCCTCTAGAAGCTATAGAGAAAATATATTTTAACTCTAGGTATATAATACCCAGCGCAAATTTTTTCTATTTTTAATTACATATTGTAGTACCTGATATTCTTACATAAATAATATGTTTTTCAGTTCCTATTAATGTTAACTCAAAGTACAAAGTTTGAAGTACCTGCATGTAAAATATTTCAAATAATGATTTATATTTAATATTTTTTTTGATATTTTCAAAATTTGTTATGATATACCCATGGTTAATAGTGGTGTAACTTTAATTGATGGTTTGTGTTCTAGGTTTAAGAAACACACGTCATTAAGCTAATAAAGTTGCATATCCTTCTCTCCTGGGGAGGACTTTCGGTTGACGGGGTTTATTCCACAACAAAGCTGCAATCTTCGCTCTCGGCCGTTTTGTCGGGTGTCGAAAGAAACTCATATATTTTGTTAAATATGTCGACGTGTCCATTTTTAACTAGCCAGTGGAGTAGTTCTATCACCCCTACTGGGGAGAAAGTTTGCTGTGTATGATGCATAAAAACATAACTCATTGAAATCACTTTCTATCGCTCTAACATATTCAGCCAATCGAAATCAACATCCCTATTTTGTCTAGCATTTGACTGTAAAGGTCAGCGTTATAAAGGTTGAGCCAAAATACGCTGCCACTAAAAAAATAATTGGCTGAAACTATTATTTAACAATAATCTCGTTGTGGGGGAAAAAACAACATATTTTTTAAAAATTTGCTTGGTATAGTGAAAAAATACTAAGACAGAAATCATAATTCGCAAGCACAACTTTTAATTTACTATATAAATATATATATATATATATATATATATGTGTGTGTGTGTGTGTGTGTGTGTGTCGTGCGTGTGTGTGTGTTTGTGTGTGTAATTTTTTCTTAGGGATGAAATCAAATAAATAAATCATCCTCCAGAAAACATACATATATCTCTTTATATATCTGTCTGTCTGTCTGTCTTTTTTATCTATATATTTATGTTTCTTGTTTAAAATTTTATTTATTTATAGGTGAAAAGAGACAATTATTGGAGATGGTGTGTTTATAGATATAGACAGTATGGACATAGGAATCAACATTGCCTGGTGAATATCGGTTTTACGTTTCAATCCTATATTTACACAAATTCTACTACTACTTTAGTGGGCTTTACTCACTGGGGTATTACCAATGCATCAAACCTGGCCGAGGATCCATTGAAAGCTATTCCGGAAGCAGCAATATGTTGAATGCTTTCTGAGTGCATCAAAGGAAAACAGTGGTTAAGGATGAAAGAATTAGATCTCTGATTTCCCTAGACTGTCCCTTACGTATCTGTTCATTGTGATCAATTTGAAAGCTCAGTCTTCTTTCTTTCCCAAAACGTCGCATCAAACGCGTGTATCGCATTCTAAAATCTGCGTAATCAACAACACAGATTCGTTTCCGTATTTACAATATATTTTTACCAAGAAAAAGAAGAAGGAAAGGAGAGCCGAATATAGAGACATGGTGCACCGCGTTCCACAACGCTCCCAAGTCTTGAATTCAGAGTTGTCCTTCTCCTAGACCAGTTGCTATCCAAGGATACAGAATACAGTCTTCCCTACTATTTATTAGGTGGAGAAGAAGAGGATTAATACCTTTCCCAAAAGTATTAGAACGTAAGTGAATGTAATGCATTATATATATACTTATACGTCGAAAACGACGGGATATATATATATATATATATATATATATATATATATATATATATAAATTAATTGATTTAAAATATGGTTATTTTCGCTACACAGTTCCAACCATGTTTCAAAAATAGAAGCTAAAACCCCTAATTTTATTTTTTGCAAATAAATTAAAAGCATTAGTTCCATTTCATCTTCAAGCGAATTTTTGATAACTTTTAAAATTTACCATCGCTAAAATCACGTTTCCATGGTTAAGAATATTCTACTAAATTGAACACGGGGTTCTAGATTTTCCTTATGACAGTATCATTGTATCAGTTATTAGCTACATTTTGGTAAAGGGATGTATTTTTCATTGAAACCTGACGTCGGTTTATAATGGATGTCGTCTGAATTTAAAAAAATTAATAATATAAATAGAAATTTTTTTTAAAAATAAAATAAAAGTTTCCGGATTTTATATTTTACTGTTCTGAAAATCTTTTTTATATACATATATTTATATATATATATATATATAATGGTTTGTTAAAATATGATTCCATCGATATTTTGAATTTTTTTCATAAAAAAATAAAACATTATAAGATATTATATTTTATTAAATATAGTTCTGTTTCATTTATATATAGAAAATAATTTATTTTAATAAAGAGGCGATATAAGGGTATTCATTTTCCAAGAGGCGATTCACAATTCTATTTATCGACATATTTTTAACTTTTAATAAAATTTTAAAATAGGTTAAGTCAAGGTAGGGTAGGGGTGCCTTTTTTCAAACGAATGATGACATTTGTTCAACGCATGTCATCTGGTCTTTTTCAACGACAGAAAGTTTTTTGCCACTTTTGGTAAGCCGTTAAATTTGTACTTGTATACATGAAGATCATTTTCTAAAAGGTTTTTTTATTATATGTGAATACGTCGTATTGAACAATACTTTCTTTTTTGTTGACGACTTCTTAAAGGAGTTTTTAGCATGTTATTGGGTTGTGTTTTTAAACCAATTGCTTTAATTGAACGTGTTTATAAAATTTGAAATTTGTAATTTTTTTATGCTAATTATGTGAGTCCTACATTTGTTCGTGTGGGCAAGAAACCGTTATCTCATGTCTTTGATTTAATAAATTTTCACTTTTTAGAAATTTTATAATGTGCAGTTTGTCATGTAGGCATACAGGACATATCCCAGGTTTTACAAGTACTTGTTCTATTTATTATTTTCCATTTTACTTCTGGGATTTTATTCGTTTCTCTTAAATGCCAAAACTATTTAGATAGGGATATCTGATGTCTATTTCTAATATTATTGAAGTAGGTTTTGTGTTGTCACCAACTTATTTTAAATTCATTTTTCGTGGATCCTATATATATATATATATATATATATATATATATATATATATGTGTGTGTGTGTGTGTGTGTGTGTGTGTTTTCAATATTGGGATTCTCAATAGATGAGATTGTGCATTGGTATGCCACAGATTCTATGCGGCATTTTTTGAAACATGGTAATTCCTGTGTAGCCATGGAATAATATTTTTTTTTTAAAATAATTATAATCTTGGTTCTACTTGTGTAGAAAAAAAAGCCTAACTTTTTAAAAAATTAAAACAACAATACTCAAGATCTTCGGATCCTCAATCTAACAGTTTTTTCCTTTTTTTCATAAAATGTTTACACACACAAATTATATATATATATATATATATATATATATATATATTTAATAATTTACCTCGAAAACAACAGGAGGTTCCATCATAAATATATATATATATATATATATATATATATATATATATATATATATGATGATGATCTCCAATCGTTTTCGACGTATGAGCGTTTTTATTTATATATATATATATATATATATATATATATATATATATATATATATATATATATATATTAAGAAAGGAAAAAGTGTGTTATATATATATATATATTTCACACTTCTATCTTTTCTCCTCATCAAGACCTTGGCTGACAGCCATGTGACGTTGAAAAATTGGTTCTCGTAAGATCGGCGATGTTAAGCAACCTTGATTCTTGTCAGTACAGGTATGGGTGACCGCTTGATAATATTGGTTATTGTAAGTTTGTATGTGCGGCTGCTGTAATGGATGTTGGTTTGGAATTGTTAATCGGGGAGCAGAATTTCAATTCCAGTTGGTTTCATTATATTCCCTTATCCCCAAATACCCTCGTAAATGGTATGAATACATCTATGCCCTCCCCGAACTATGTGTTAATCAGTAAAAATTGTATAACTAAACAAATACTATTTCTAAAAGATTTTAAATCTAGAAATATTTTATCTCTTTAAATATCTTAAAAAGGTTTAATAAGCCATACAAAAAGGATTTATCTATCAATCAACCAAGTGTTACTACTCATTAGTGGGGCTTTTATGCAAGTAGATGAAAAGAAGATCTGGAAATTCTTAGTTTTTTTTTTAATATTTAAATGAATTTAGTAATCTAGACGTTAGAATCATAAGGAAACAATAGCATCGGACCTAAAGAAAAGAGCAGGAAATCTACCAATG